GTGGGAGAAAAATGTGGAACAGAACTCAAACTTCCACACACACACACACACACTCACACACAAAGACCAGGCTTGCTGGTCCGACGGAGACTGGAGAAACCCCAAGAGTATGGCCCCCAGACACTCTTTTAACTCACTACTGAAATCACTCCTGAGGTTCATCCTTTAACCAAAGAATAAACAGGTCTATAGGGCCAAAAATAACACATGTGAGGAACGTGCTTCATAGTTCAATCATGTGTACGAGACTAATGGGCTCACCAGCCCAAAAGCAAACACAAGAAGGCAGGAAGAACAGGAAAATTGTACAAATGGAAACAAGGAACCTAGGGTGGAGGAGGGGAGAGTGTTGACACATCACAGGGTTGGCAACCAATGTCACAAAACAATTTGTGTATCAACTGTTTAATGAGAAACTAATTTGTTCTGTAAACTTTCATCTAAATCACACACACAAAAAAAAATTTACAATCTAGAAGAGAAAGGAGATCATTACAATTGATGATTACCCTACAGTGCGGTAATCACGACAGGCAATGAGGGAACAATGGAGGCACGGAGTATGATTTTCTCAATCAGATTGTCAAGATGGAAAAGTTTCCCAGAGGAAAGAACATACAGTGAAACCTGGGAGAGCCGGAACTCGATGGGCCTGTCTTGTTTTTCTACCTTTGACAAGGTGCAGTCTGACCAAAAGTTACTCACTTACTCACAAAACTTACAAGTTTTCTGCCTTTGACAAGGTGCAGTCTTACCACTTTTCTATGGCTCGTTTTAGTGGAAAACGTTTGAGTTTTCCTTCTCTGACAAGTTTCCACCTTACACAGGCTCCAGCTTCTGCAGGTTTTACTGTAACAGAGTTTGAGTTGCATTTGAGGTCATTATGAGACAGCTAGGTTGAAATGTCGAATGTATGAGTCTCGAGAGCTTCAGAGAGGTCTGGGTTGAAGTCAACAATGAATAAACGATAAATACCGCCATGGATTTGGACAAGAGCACGCCAAAGAAAGAAGGGAAAGGATGAGTGTTCCAGGTAGGAAGATAAATAGCTGCAGAGGTGCAGAAGAGCAAGTGTGTGAGCCTTCACCTACGTGTAGATAGGGTGGTAGTGGGACTGGGATGGGGGAGATATTGCTAGAGGTGTCAGGGGCCAGTTCAGCAAGAGTCTTGTGTGCTGAGCCAAGAAATCAGAGCTGTATTCAGAAAGCTATGGAGTCCCTTAAAGGGCCAGAGCATTGGAACAACTTGACTAGATCTAAGATTTACAAAATACACTCTGGGGTCAGTATGGAATATGAATTGGAAGGAGGGATTCAAGAAGTAGGGAGACCAGTTAAGAGTCCACAGCAGATGAATGGAGGGGGGTAACTAAAGCAGTGTCCCTGGGGATGAAAATGAAGGACATGTTCCAGAGATGGTAAAGACTCTGAATTGACATGTCTTGGTCGTTACTGATCACAAGCCAAGGTAGAAAGAGAAGTCTATGGGATCACCCTTCACCCCAGGTTTTTAGCTTGGATGGCAAAGGAGGCAATGGTGTCATTTGCTGAGAAAGTAAACACTCTGTTAGGAGAGGAGAAGTTCTGAATTTAGGTTTTATCATTTTGATGGAGTTTAAGGTCACTGTGGGACAGCCCTGTTGAAATGCTGAATATATGGCTGTGGAGCTCTGCAGAGAGGTCTGCGATGGACATATAAGTTAGGAATCAACAATGAATGAATGTCCTGGTGGCACACACAGAAAGGCTGGCAGTTCAAACCCAACCAGCAGCTCCATGAGACAAAGACCTGGCAATCTGCTTCCATAAAGATTAAAGCCCAGAAAACCCTATCGGGCGGTTCTGCTCTGTCACCCGGAGTCATTACGAGTCAGAATTGACTGGATGGCACCCAACAACAACAGTGAATAAATGGTTGGTACAGCCATGGATTGGACAAGACCACTCAGGCAGAATGTATGCAGAATCACAGTAAAGGCCAATAAATTAAGGTCAAAGTAAAATTTAAGCTGTAAAAAAAAAAAAAAGATAACCGTGCTCAAGGACTTGTTTAAAATATTGTTCCTAATTTAAAGTTTATTTATTTATTAATACATATTAAATTGCTAAAATTTTTGGAAATAGATTTAGTATATAGTTTGTCACCCTGCTATTGCTGTTTCACATATAGACCAAAAATATAACCAATAATAGCAAAAAATTTATAATGTTTTAGAATATCAGAACAATGTGAATTAACACAAAAAGAAGTAAAAGTCAGGAAATGTTTATGATATGACTCAAGCCGAACATCAAAATTATACCCTTGAATGTTAAGCTTTTTTTTTTATTTCTCTTATATTTAAAAATAACTTTTCCTCTTACTTTCAGTCTTTTGGGGACAAACGCTGTTGTAACAGTAAAACCTGATGATTTCCCACGTTCGCTATCTTTCCGCAATGTATTAACTTCATGACGATACACCTCTACTGCCTCCTCATCTCTACTCAGAAAAAAAAGTTTTAAATGAATCAAAATATCGCTAGGCAAGAATTTCACCAAATTGAAGAGAATTGTGGTCGTCTGTATCTAACTTCTGGGTTCTATAGTCTCCATTATTCCTCTTAATCAAGATGCTTTATACTTCATCAACTTATGTAAGATAAACAAACTGAAATCATTTTCTAAGACAGAAATAAATTACATATTCTTTCACAGTACAATATTATAGCAGAGATTCTTACTCTGTATATCCCAAGAAATTTGTATCATGGATCCAATTATAGACAAGGAAAACCCCAGTCATATAACATTCATAATTCACTAATAATCAGATCAGAATATTTCTTAATAAATATTTATTTTATGAATACTTATATAGCACAATAATATTTACTAATTTTACTATAACTTATTAAAAATACAATTAGATATACCGATCTAATTCTCCAGGTATATCTACCTCTCTTTTAATGAGTTAGATTTTTGGCAACATCACCATTGAAAATATTAATATTTTGAAAATAGAGTTATACAAGCTTTAATACCATACCTATAAAAAATAAATAAAATAAAAACAGAAAAACTGATAGAAATTATCAAAAATAAAATTCTATTGAACTACTCAACATATCTAAAATACTGTGATATGGGCTTAACAGGTATATACTGGGACTTATATTTGAAGATTTCCTTATTTACCAAAAGAGAACCTTACTGTTTTGCTCTTTACCTAGTAAATTTCACCTAAAAATCCTGTCTTAAGTAGCTATAGACACCATGTGTCTCACAGTCACTATATTCTGTCTCATGTATTCACTATATGTCACATACAGTCACTATGTATACAAGGCAATCTTATAATGATGTTCTGAAAAGGGATAGAAGAGTTTTTCCCAAAGAGTTTTGTAAGATATATGGTAGTTATAAGACTTGCTCTTCCCATCTTCAGGACTCTGTAATTCATGATATTTGATGTGGGTGGGGTGGGGAGAAGACCATGAGCCCTTTGGGCATCCTTGTATAGAGAAACCTGTCTCATTGAAGATGGCTTGGCTCCCCACATAGAATAGTCGTGACTGTAGGACTTATACACCAGCTTGTGTCAATACGTCAGCACTCATTAAATACAAGGTTAATAGGAAGAATATCTGAAACATGAAAATGTGTCCTTTCACTTGGGAATACTAAGGCTTAACAATGTCAGGTTCCCTAAAAATGCTAACCAAGTTGCAGCACAAAATCTGTACCATGGAAGAGGAGAGACAGTTGCAGATCGTGGTTATTCCTGAACCTGCAGCATTCAGACGCTGGACACCAACTGCGAAGATGGCCAAGGAGGACCACGTGACTATCACTCAGGGCAAGCATGTCATGCTCCCAGAAATTTGGCCTTGACATCAGACTGTGCAGCACTGGAATAAGCAGGACTATTAAATGAAAATCAGGAGATACCCCTTAACATGGAGCTTAATTTAATGCTAGACTTTATGTGGATCATGAGGCAGTCCCACATTTTCACACAAATACCCATTCAAGAATTCCAATTCCAAAATGTCCTTTCTTTACAATATATACTTCCCAGGACATGTTTACAATAATCTACATTTAAATAATGATGATGTTGAAATATCTGACTCATCACCAACATGACATTTAACAAGTCTTAGTAATAAAATGTCCCCTAATAGCAATTTAACTTTTATTCCAGGTTCACTGCACATGCTGCATGATTACCTAAAAGCACCCCTTATGTTTTGTGAAAGTTATTTATTTATATACTGTTCAATTGCTGTAATAATTGGATACTATTTACTATCATTCAGCAGTACTATCAACACTTCCTATAAAAAAAACAATCAAAAAGCATCTAAACCACAAAACTTTGTCTCGTGTTTGGATATTTTTTTTTTTGATGTTATATGGGGGATGGGGGATGGGGGATTTTGGATTTAGATTTTGTTTTTACAAGTAACTTCAAATTTAATGACACGCTTTTTTTGAGAAATATGCCAATTTCCCAATACAAGTCCTCTAAAAGAAAAACATTAAAATAGAAAATCGATCTACCATGTGAATTTGCTTCTGACATGCATCAATACAAAATAAATAGATCTAAGATCATAATTTAGCTATCTTACTTTTTAAGGATATTACTTTTTAGGGCTAAATTTTTAAAAAGCAACTCTTTGAACTGGAATTTGCTCAAAACATGGAATTAAAGTTGCATATTAAGGATAGGTAAAAGTAGTAACTTTTTTTCTAATTCTGTAAAAGAAGTGTAGAAATTACATAAGCCCACAGCACGGACAAATCTTCGTAAAATTTCCCCTTTAACACCGAGAATTAACTATCGCGTTCTAAACCGCTCCGTGCCCTTTCGTTTTCCACTCATACCACAAATGGGTGCATATTTTAATACGGAAAGTTTCGCTGATATGTATTTTAACAAAGCACCTTACTTTTATTAAAAATGCAATAATGAATTTCTCCATATAAGAATTTAAGACATGAAGAACGTACGATGGGCACAGATACTGCTTCTTTTTCCCCTTCCCTTTCTTCGAAGACTTCTCTTTAGAACAGGCTTCTTCAACCCACAAGGAAAGCAAAATAAAAAAGGCTATCACCGATAAGAACTTCATCTTGAAAAGTTACTTTTTAGCAGATTGATCTACAAGAGAGAACAAGAAAATTATTTGTCTATGAAGTAAATGATACCTATATGATTATCCCTTTAAGGAGTAGGATCATTACAACCCAATGCACAAGTATGTTTATACCCTCACTGCTCAGTACTACATGGTTATGCTTCAACAGTATATCAAAGTTTTTTGTTTTTGTTTCTTTTGTGATGGTTTAGTAGTGAAAATTAGTTTAAATAATGGCTTATAAAAAGCAAGACTCCAATGAGGTATCGAAGGTTACTATACAAAATTTCTGAGTTACACAAAACTGTGAATTTATATTGAATCGCACAGTTTATCAACATACTTAACCCACTGCCATCAAGTCAATTCCAACTCATAGCTACCATACAGGACAGAGTAGAACTGCCCCATAGGGTCAAGGAGCAGCTGGTGGATTCCAACTGCCAACCTTTGGGTTAGCAGCCAAGCTCTTAACCATTGCATCACCAGGCCACCTACAAGGGTGTTTAACACAGTATTAAAGTGCTTATCTCTGGCTAGCACATTTGAGGTATTTTTGTTTGTTTTCTTTTTAATTGTCTATGTTGTTTGAATTTTGCATGTATATTTTTTCAAAAAATAAAATTATTTTAAAGGAAAATAATTCTAAGTATTAAATGACAGAGATAAGAAAAAAAATTTAGGATCAAAGAGTTTCACCATCTAAATTCATAGTGTTTTTAGTTATACACACAAAATCTGCAAGCTATCTTTTGCCCAAAAAAGATGCTTATTAATTTAAGTTAGCTTTTTAGCTTTGCCACTTATGTGATATGAACATTTATCTTCAAAAAGATTACTCCAGAAATTCTAGGTAACATTATGTGAATTAAACAGCAAGTGTGGTCATACTCTTCGAAATAATCTTCTTAGCCCCATTTCAATAACATTTTCCATGCTCAAACGAGAATTATATTCTTGCCAAAATCTCCTGCGTCCAAAAAAAAAAAAAAAAACCCTTGAAGCGTCTACGACCCATGGCATATTTAAACCATTTCTGCACCCTTTGCACCCTTCATTTCCAACCCATAAATTGTTTCTCCTCCATTGTTTTCGGCAGAGTAGAAGATCTGTCGTATTTCTCAACACTAACTTAACTCCCATCTCACCCTTACGAATTTGCTTCTCCTATGTCACGTTTTTCAGCTCCCTTTTTCCCAGGAATTCTTTTTTCTCCCGTTTATCCTTTACACCCCCAAAGCAAGCCAGGTCTTCGTCCCTGGCTCTAGACTGAAGGCTATGGGGCCGAGGGGTGTGCTCATCAGACCCACAGTAAGCAGTAGGCTCTGCTCTACCAACTTACAGCATTGGGCGCTCCCTTCCCCCATCCTTCGCCCACAGCAGCAGGTCCTTTCCCACCTTCACATCCCTCCCCAAGAAAACACGGGGGCCGTCCTAATGGTTTGAAGAGGGCGAGAAATTCAAAGCTATGCGCTCCTTCTTCACCGCCAACCTTTCAAAGGGGGCAGCTGCAGTGACGGAGGTTCTTAACAATCAAAACAACGCCAGAAGCCCTCCCCGCCAACCCTGCCCCAGCCCCCTCCAGCCCTCCATCCCGAGCGTCTCCGCGGACGCCCGGGCACCGGTGCCGGCCGCAGCCGCCCGCGCCGTCCCGCGCTGTCCCCGCGCCGGGCAGCGCTCCCCTCCTCCCTGCACGCCGCAGTGCTCCCGACGCCTCCACCACCCGGCTGGGGACCCGGCTTTCCGCAGAGGGGTTCATTCGCGTCCCCGATCCCCCTGCCCGGTCCTCTGCTGCCCTTCCCCCCTAAATGGAGCCCCAGCACTTACCCGGAGGGGCCTCTGCCCGCAGCCGCCAGGCGACGAAGCGGCGGCTCCGCGCCGAGGCGGCGGTGGCTGCCGGGGGTGCGGCGGGCGCAGAGCGGGAGCAGCTG